CTGGATTTGAACTCAGGTCTTTGTGGACTCCCAGTCCACCACTCTCTCTCCATTGTACCATCTAGTTGCCTGAATTCTAGGATCTTCTCTATAGCTGATCACCATTGCAGTCAGGCTTTCCGGGTCTCACACTCTGGGCAGTTCAGAGTGGTGGGTAAAATCCTCCTCTTTATCATGCTTCATGCCCGTCCAGAACGTGTCATTTAAAGCAATAGTGAAAGTTTAGAGAGAGAAGTAGAGTCAGCATGGCCTCATCACTTCCTTTATCAATAGGCTTACTAAAATGGTAGAACAGGGACTTTCCACAACTGCAGTTTACCTAGACATTAGCAAACCATTTATTAAAGTCTTTCATGCTTGTGGGAAAGATGGAGAGGGGTGGGAGATATAATGGCACAATGAGCTCTACCCAGAACTGGTTCAGAGCATGCAACCCAGAAAGTAGATGGTCTCCAATGAAGTACTCAAGTGATCCAAGCTTGGTCCTGGGCTATTTAATAGTTTTATCAATGACTTGGCTAAAGATATAGATGACATGCTCATTAAATGTGCAGATGACCCAAAGCTAGGAAGGGGTAGTTAGCCCATGAGAGGAGAGATTTAGGACTGTAGAGGACCTTGACAGTCTGGAACATTTGGGATCAATCTAATAAGATGAAATTCAACAGGTATAAATGTAGAGTCTTTTACTTGGATTAAAAAAATCAACTTCCACAAAATGCAAAGAAGTGGTTACCCAGCAGTTTGTTTGGAAAATGTCTCTTGTGTCTTAGTGGGTTTTAAGTTCAGTAAGGGTTAACAGTGTGACCTAGCAACCAATTAACAAAAATTAATGTAGCCTTATGCTGCATTAATAGAAGAATAGAGCCCAGGGTGAATGAAGTAATATCACGGGTTTCCTTTTCTGTATAAAGGGGGTAAATGATACCTGTAGTCAGGAAAGTGCTGGTAAATGTTAGTTTTTGTTAAATTGTGTCTGACTCTTCGTGACTCCATTTGAAGTTTTCTCAGCAGAGATACTGTAGTGGTTTGCCATTTCCTTCTCTAGCTCATTTTACAGATGAGGAAACTGAGGCAAACAGGGAGAAGTGATTTACCCAAGGTCACAAAGCTAGTAATTGTCTGAGGCCAGATTTGAACTCAGGGAGATGAGCCTTACTGATTTAGGATCCAGTGCTGTATACACTATGGTGCCACTGAGCTGCCCAGACACACTTTTTAGGTTAATCTGAATTATTAATACTTTTCTTAAGTAAGCCTGGACAGTTGACAAAACAATGAATCAAGCCCTGATTTGTACCATTTGTAGTACCTACATCATAGGATTGTTGTATAGATCAATTGGAATGAGGTACAAGGTGTCCCAAAAGTCTTAATGTGATTTTTAAGCTTCTGTGGCTTTTTACATAGTTTATATAAAGCTTATGAGTTTAAGCTTTGGTGGTTTAAAACTGTGCTAAGTCCCCTGGGACACATGGTACGTAAAACACTTCATTAATCTTGGAGTGCTGTGTAAATGTTAGCTGTTACTCTTTTTTCTTCTCTGGTGTGATCACATCTAGAATATTGCATGTAGTTCTGGCAAGCACGTTTTGGGGAGGACCTGAAATGTCTGAATGTAACCAGAACCCAAACTATTCAGGCTTTTCTGAGAAGGATGACCAGGGCAATGAGGGGATTTGAAACTGTGACATATGACATACAGTTAAAGTAACAAATCACTTAGTGTTTTGGGGTCCATATTCCTTCACCTCTAAAATGAGATTGTTTGGACCAGATGGCCTCTAAGGGCATTTCTAGATTTAAGCTTGTGATCGTATGAATTGAAATGTAGATTGGAAAAGGAAAGACTACGCTATTTGAAATGTCAAATATTTGGAAATTCAAATATTTGCTGCTGTCCTGTGACTTAGACATGACTGCAGTTAGTCAACAAACAAGCATTTATTAAGTGTTCAAGGCCCCGTGCTAAGTGCTGGGGATAAAAAGAAAGGCACAAACAGTCCCTGCCCTCAAGGAGCTTCCATTCTAATGGGGGAGACAACATGCAAACATCCATGTGCAAGAAAAGAGATTGACAGAGACAATCCTGTATATTGGAATTGACAATTTCAGAAGGAAGGGCACTAGATTTGCAGGGAAAGGCTTCTTGCAAAAGGTAGGATTTTAGCTGAACCTTGAAGCCAGGAGGTAGAGATGAAGAGGGAAAGTATTCCAGCAATAGGGGATGGCTGGTGAAAATGCAAAGAGTTGAGAGATGGAGAATATCCTTGGAGGACGGCAAGAAGGTCAGTGCCACTGGACTTCAGAGTACAGTGTGTGGAGGGGAGGAAAGCATAAGAAGACTGGAAAGGCAGGTAAGGGCCAGATAGGAAGGGCTGTAAAGGCCAAACAGAAGGTTTTCTAGTTGATCCTAGAAGTAATAGGGAGCCACTGGAGTTTATTAAAAGGAGGTGGAGGCAGTGAGGGCCAAACTGTGATTATGTAATATAAATTTGTAGGGGACCTAGTTAGCAGTCGGTAATTCTTTTCCAGCTTTCTATAGCAGCATGAGGAGCAAAAGAAGCAGATACTGGGCATAATCAGCAGTAGGATGAGGGGCCAGAGAACTCAGGAGTAGAGTTAATACCAAGTTGAAGTGATTCACCAAAGAGTCCAGATGGGGAAGGGAGAAAAGTGTAAACTGTGCAGGGGTGATGGCCTGGGAAAGAACTGGTAGAAGGATTGGAGGTTTCAGAGATTACAGAGAACAGAGCTAGAGGTTGTAAGGAATGATATTGGAATGGCGGAAAATATTATGATCAGATAAAGGAATTTCAGATTCACGAATATAGATATGGAATGATGGTAAGATCAAGCATAGAACTATCTCTGTGTGTTGCTGAGGAATAGATCATGGGAAATAAGTAAATTGAGGAACTGGGAAGTTAGGATATTTGAAAGCATATCAGTACATATGTTGAAGTCCCCTAGTAAGAAGACAGGAGTGTGAAGGGGAGAAAGACCAGGAGCAGGCATTAAACTTGCTAAGAAGGAAGGGGAATGACTTGGGATTTGGTTGACAACAGCTACCAGAATCTGGCTGGGTAATAAATATGGACTGAGTGAATCTCAAAGGAAAAGAAGTCACTGAGTGGTAGTGGTAGAGGGAGCATCTGAAAGTGGCAACGGGGACCAAGGAGTATTCAGTGATTCTAGGTTATGAATAAGTACAACTGATGCTAGAAATTGTGGCCAGGGATGCCGTGTCATCAGGAGACGACTAGGTCTCAGTGATTGCCAGAGGGCAAAAGGAATGAGAAAGGAAACGGTTTAAGATGAAAGTAAGTGTGTTGCCTAAGAAGCAGGCGTTCCAGAGAGCACATAGAATGAGTTGTTAGATCTGGATTGGGATGTTGGGGAGATCTGGTTGAGGGGGATGGAAGTAAGAGAACAGGAATTGGGGGACAGGGAAAAGGGGTTGTATAATGACAGCTCGGGGTTCATAATCCTTGGGAAGGAATAAATATGACAAGGAGGTAGTATGTTTACTGTCGAGGAATGAGTTCAAGCAGATTCTTGCCCAGGTGGACTAGGCAGGCCAGAGAGGAAGCCAGCCCTCTAGAGTAAGCAGCATGGCGGAGCTTTCTCATGATGTGCAGGTTCTAGTCAGGGACTCACCAGTTATGAGTCAGCCTCAGCATTGTCATCCATGTGGTAGGTTCCAGGGGGCAGAACAAGAACCAAAGAGTGGAAACTGTAGGGAAGGAAATCTGAGCTCAGGATAAGGAAGGACTTCCTAATGGTTAGAGCTAATAGTCATAAGATGGATTCTATGAGGTGGGGAATTCCTTTCAATTATACTGTAGAAGATAGGAGGGGTACTGAGAAGGAGTTGGATTAGATGACATAATAAAATTCCCTTTAATACAAAGAACCTATGAATAACTTCTTACAGAAGTTACTTGGCAGATTCTTGCGTCCCAGTTACTCAAGCCTTTTTTTTTTAAAAGAATAAAACAAAAGATAATTGCACATAAAACTGCCAATCTATTATGTATAACTTGCTATTCATTTTAAATATATAATAAAATTATCATGGAACTTGTTTTTCCTTTTTGTTTCTTCTGTCTCTATGCCCTACCCTAGAGATGGCTACCATTAGACACAAATATATATATGTGTAAAATCATTCTATACAGACTCCTATTTATCAGTTCTTTCTCTGGATGCAGATACTGTCTTCCTTCATAGGTCCTTTACCATGCCTTCTCCCCTCACCTATCCCCTCATCAGCTCAGATTTGCTGATGAGTTACGCATTCAAATCCTAAGACAAATTCCTCTCACAGGTCCTTAAATATGATTGGAGGGGCTTTATATAGTACTCCTCCATGATGGACGTGGACAGATGACTTTTATTTACATTTTCACTCTAAGACCATGGAGGCAAGAGTTTCTGACTTGTTATAACCACCCTTTTGTTGCTCCCTCTGGCCAGAAGTAGAAAGAATATTTTTATGTACGTGCCACCTCTTCCATACAATAAAAGCGTTCATTGAAAATGTGGGGGATGGGATTTTAAATGGGCTAATGGAATTTACTATTTTAAGGGATCCTCTAGTGATCATTTTGTAATGCTTATAATTGCCCCCTAACTCATTGGTGTATTTATCAAGGTTTTCATGTCTTGGTTTGCTTCAATCAAGGTATAACTGTATTAAAAAATAATCCTGTACTACATCCTCCTTTTGTGTTCAAGAAATATCTAAGGCTTGTGTAATATACTCCTAATGTCCGGAAGGAAGAAGAGGGATAACCAAACTAACTCAGGCAGATACAGTATTAAATTCCAGGCGCCACATTTAAGGAAGAACATTGCCAATCTGGAAGCTAAGAGGAAGGAGACCAGGATGCTGAGAGAACTGGAGATGGTGATAATGATGACGATGATAGCAACAAACTTTCATGTAGCACTTACTATGTGCCAGATACTGTGCTAAGCACTTTACAATCCCCACAGATCCCCACAACAACCCTGGATGTAGGTGCTATTATTATCCTCATTTTACAAATGAGGAAACTGAGGCAAACAGCGGTTAAGAAAATTACTTAGGATCACCCATCTAGTGAATGTCTAAGGCCATCTTTAAATTCAGGTCTTCTTGACTCTAAGCCCAGTGCTTTATACACTATGGTGCCACCTAGCTGCCATAAGAAGATTACCTGGAAAAATAATGTTTAGGACACGGAAGAAGAGTTGGTATAGGCGACAAGAGATTCTCCTCTTTCTCCTCTGCCTCTCTACGGTTTCTACCCATTGTTGTTAGTTCTGCTCTCTGGGACCCAGATTAACTTGATGTTAGGGAAACCTGCCCCACATTAGAGGTGTTCAAAAGCAGAACGGACTGCTTTCGAGGGCAATGAGCTCCGTATCACTGGAGGTGTTCATGGGGAGACCAGAAAAACAACTTTTTTAGGGCTATGGTGGAAGAGATTTCTGTTCAGCTGTGGGTTGGCTGGTTGATCTCGATAGCCCATTCTAACTTTGTGATTCTGAGGGGAAAAGCCTGCCCGGGTCCATCGCCCTTGCAGCCTTTGACCGGGCTCTCTGGCCAGAATGTGGAAGCGCTCAGGAAGTGTCATCAAGGCAGCAGCTGTTGCTGAGTTCGTGATGGGGCCGTCGTTGCTCTTTGCTGTGCTCCATGCCTGACATCTCAGGTAGTCTGCAGCACCACCTGACGCATGAGTCCCCTAGGGACACAAAGAACACAGTGGGACGTAAATAGACACACAGGAAAAGTCACTCAGGAAATGCCAGACCTCCTCCACCATTCTCTGCTCCCTTGCTGCACCCACAACCCTGCTTGAGCCATGCTGCTTGGCCATAAAGAGGTCTCACCTGGCTCTAATCCATCAGCAAGACAGTCCACTCTATGGTTTCAGCATAAGGGCCAACTTAGGGACACCAGCTCAGATGTTCTCAACCCCACAGGCATTTATTAATAGTCTACAATATGGAAGACACTCTAGGATAAGTCCTGGGGTTACAAAGACAAAAAGTAAGACAAATTTATGAGAATAAGGGCCATTCCCCAATTGATTGATGGTTGAGGGATATGAACCAGCATTTTTCAAGGTAGAAAGTCAAGCTATTTCTAGCCACATGAACAAAAATGTTCCAAATCACTAGTGACTGGAAAACTGAAAATTAAGGCAATTCTGAGGCTCTACTTAATACCTATCAAATTGGCAAAATTGACCAAAAAAAGAAAATGACAAATATTGGTAGGTCTGTGGGAAAACAGGAACATTAATGCACCTTTGGAGCTGTGAATTGGACCAGCCCTTTTGGAAAGAAAATTGGAGTTATATCCCCAAAATTACTAAATTGTATGCCCTTTGACCTAGAGCAGGAGTGGGGAACCTGCAGCCTTGAGGCCACATGTGGCCTTCTAGGTCCTTGGGTGTGGCCTTTTGACTGATTCCAAGTTTTGCAGAACAAAACCTTTCATTAAGGGGATTAGTTCTATGAAGTTTAGATTCAGTCAAAGGGCTGCACTTGAGGACCTAGGGGGCCATGTGTGGCCTCAAGGCCGTAGGTTCCCCACCCCTGACCTAGACATACCACTACTAGGCCCATACACCAAAGGGATCAAACCAAGAAGAAAAGTTCCTATATGTACAAAAATATTTATAGTTGCTTTTTTGTAGTGGTAATTAAAAACTAGGGGGTCCCCATCAATTGGGGAATGGCTGAACAAATTATGGAGTATTAATATAATGGAATATCATTGGATGAAATGCATGGTTTGAGAGATACCTAGAAAGACTTGTTTGAATTGATGCAGAATGAAGTGAGCAAAACCAGGAGAATAATTTATACTAAAATATTAATACTATAAAAGTGAAGAGTTCTGAAACATTTAAGAATTCTGATCAGCTAGAAGTTCAGAGAACTGAGGATAGAGAATGCTACCTACCTCATGCTTAGAGAGATGCTAGAGAGAGGATAGACTAATAAATAAAATGAGAAGCACATTTTTGGATGTGGTCAATGTGGGATTTGTTATGCTTGACTATGCTTATATGATACAAAGGTTTTGTATTTTTTTTTTAAGTGGGGGTGGAGAGGTAAGAGGAAGAAAAAAAATGCCTTACTATTTTCTCTTTTGTTTTTCTTTCTTATGGTTTTTTCCTTTCTTCTTTTACAACATGACTAATGTGGAAATATGTTTAATATGATTGTACATATATAGCCTATATCAGATTGTTTGCCATCTTGGAGAGGGGGGAGGGAAGGGACGGAGGGAGAAAAAAATTTGGAATTCAAAATCTTATAAAAGTGAATATGGAAAACTATCATTACACACAATTGAAAAAAATAAAATGCTATTAAGTGGAAAAATAATTTTAAAAAATTTTAAAAAGAAAAGAAAAAAAACAAATGCCTGATAATTTAAAAAATAAAAAATTATGCAACCTTAAAAAAAGCAAGATAGTTCCTGGACAGTCTTTGACCTCAAGGAGCTTACATTCTACTTTAATACACTGCCTAAGGCAGCTTCAGAGTGGGAAAAAAGTTGATGAATGAATGATTGAAATAGTATTTATTAGTGCCAGACCCGGTGTTAAGTGACAGGGTACAAACACAAGAAAGCAACAGTCCCTACCTTAAAGAGACTTACATTCTAATAGAGGAAAACAGTACATGTAAGGGAGTGGTGGCTCAGAAAATATGTTCTAGACTGGGAAGCCACAGGAAAGTGTGTGGACCCGTGAAACAGTGTGACATACCCTTTTCAGAAACAATGGTAGTATTGATTTGATAACTGTTTCCAGAGCAAGAGGAAATCATGACACATGTTTACTGAGGAAGGAAGATTATAGGAAGGTGGCTGGGGAAAGCGTGCTTGAGGCTCTAAGTTGGTTAAATGGGGTGAGATTTTACCCATCAGGACAGCATGTTGGGAGTTCCAAAAGAGAATGACTTAGTTTCTTCAGGATATGGTTTCTGAAACCAAACAAGTTGGTATAAGGGGAAGTACCATGGTGGCAGACAACAGGGAGATGTTTATGACCTTGCAGACATATCTGTTCCTCCTATGTAGGAGGGATGATGGCACAAAGATGGCGGGGAAGAAAAGGGCAGGGAGAAAGGCTTTATCAGGGGTCACATATAAAAGTTCTGGGCTCAGTAACTCAACCCAAACTTGCACTAACAGCTGGGGCCCCTATGGCAAAGTCCTTCCTTCTTGAGGTCCTAGTGGTTACCCTGTGCAGCTGGGAGTATCTTTCTACTATTCCTCATGAGCCCCCATCTGGTATCTGGTCTAGTTCTCTCTGATGTCAACAGCCAGCTAACATCCCTCCAATACTCATCAACCAATTAACATCAATTAGCCTCGCAAAGAAATATATATTGAAAAAAGTATAGTAAGGACTAAAGTATCAAAGTAAGGATTACAAAGTATCCCAAACTGGAAGCACATTCTCCTATACTACCTTCATTATCATTAGTTTGTGAGAGCCTTCAGTTTTAGGAACATCTTTTGCCTCTTTTTATATCCCTAGCGCCTGGGATGTAATAGGTGCTTAATAAATGGATACTGACTGACTGACTGACTGACTGACTGATGACTACCTTGGTCCCTGGAGAAAGTGGACTCACAGTGGTTGCTACAAATCATTTCCTCTACCAAATTCACTTCTGGGTGTGGCACAGTCACAGGGCCGGTCACTCCCTCGTTTGCAGGACAGAGTGGCTTGGCTGCAGGTTCTCATATGGACTGGATTAAGTGGGCCACTCTTCAGGGCTGCCTTGTCACTGGACTTGGCTACTGCTGGTACTGGCTTAAGGGAACTCTTAATGCTTCTTCCAATCTTTGAAAGCTCATGAGGTCATAACATTGTTGGTCAACCATGTTGCCTGGTGTCAGCTGTTTGGAGTAATTAAAAGCTCGTATCCTTGGCGTTTTTCTTTGTACCGTCTTCCAGATCTTGCTTTCTGCCGCTTTCAAAGTACAAACTAATGGCCTCTTCAATTATTCTCCCGGCCCCACCCTCTTCACCTTTAAATTTCCTAGGTAAAGGGTGATCTGCCGGTTTCCCCACATTCATCTCTTGCCACCTGAGGTGGAGATCTACAGTTAAAGGTCTTGTCTTTTGTTTTGCCCCTCCCCCCTTACCCTTGTATATGAGGTCTCTAAACCCAACTTATTCACATCAGAAATAATGATGGTCAATTTTCTCTCCAGGTTCTGAAATTTTGTATTTCCTTTCCCCAGGTGACTTTAGAAGGGAAAAGACTGCAGAACCACCTCTCTGAGTTCAATGTGGGGAAGGTGCATTGCTTGAGTCTTGGCACTGAGCACTTAGCACAATATTTGGAAAACAGCAAGCATTTACTAAATACTTGTTTACTAACCAGTTTACTGACCAGTTGATTGAAATTACTATCAGACCAGATAACCAGGGTCAACATAGTGGACATGAGAACTGTGAGCCCAGCATTGCTGGGCCTCAGGGGGTTGACATCTTCAGCTCACCCTTCTGCCCTAGTCTCAAGTCTTTCTGGCCTTCCTAAGGACTCTGTTTTCCTCTCTTGATTCTCAGACCCCTGTCATTCCTGAGTTCCTGAGTTAGATGGTCAGAGGTCCCACAGGCCATGGAGAGTCAGACCCTTACACCCTTAATAGGACCGCAATTTTTGATTGACCCACAAGTGCACAGGGCCCCTATAGTTTTCCCAGTATCAGATCCACCTTTTTTTCTGTCTTTTACTTAAGGTTTCAATTTTAGAATATTTACTAAGAACAAAAGATTTCCAGAAAGATAATACTTTGCTGAGCAGCCATTTAAATGTCTGTTCAAGACTTTTCTAAATATGTCTTCCTCTTCCCAATTATAGATGGCTGTCAATATGATAAATGTTTAACAACCAGCTCTCTAGGGGTAGATGGTTAGGGGATGTACATATAACATACTTTTAAGTTTAACCTGTATTATTAACATTTTCTCTATTACTTTCTTAAGTCTAGACCCAGGATCGGGCAAAATTGGCCTGCCTGTGGCCTGTTTAGTATGGCCTGTGAGCTAAGAAAGGTTTTTAAAAATATTTTTAAAATGCAAACCCCCCAAAAATACCAGTAAGTGGGCCAGATCTGGTCAGGGTGTAGTTTGCTGACTGCCTGCCCTCCCTGATCTAGACAATGAACAACACAAAGAAACCAAGCCCTGATTTGTAGAGTTTTCTAATTTCTGAGGTATTTGTGTTAGCACAGAAAATTTAACAATCTGCTCTCACAAGCCCGTAAAAGCTGACTCCAACATACCACTGCCTTCAGTGGAATTCATTTGCTCATTTAGCAAAGACTGCCCTGCCTGTTGGGGCAACAGCTACATTCCATTCCACCTGTGATGGGTGCACCTCTTAAATAGGCAAAACCACTATCAAAGAGCTGCTGATAGCTCCCCAGCAGAGGGCTCCCCTTTTCCATCAATGGAACTACCTAATCCCCCACCTCTTCCTCTGCCCATGGTAAAAGCCAACCTTGCCAGGTCCACTGAAAATATCTGCAGAGATGTCTTAAAGATGGGTGTATTCCTTGGCGTGTTCTAGCTGTCCCCTAGAATGTGGTTGGGGACACACTAGCCAGCCACTGCCAGAGTGTAAAATCTGGGGTTCTCGCACACTGCCCTAGAGTCAATACACAGTATATGCACTAGACTTTGTAGTCTGGACTCTGATCCTACAAGTCCTTCCTGTGAATTGACCATATGCTTAGGAAAGGTACCAAACACAACCACAGGATACGAGATGCTTTGAGTTGAGGAGAGGGAGGGGAGACAGGGCAGCCAAGCGGTGCCGTAGTACATAGAGTGTCAGGCCTGAAATGAGGAAGACTTATCTCCCTGAGTTCAAATCTGGCCTCAGATACTTACTAGCTGTGTGACCCTGGGCAAGTCTTTTAACCCGCTTTGCCTCAGTTTCCTCATCTGTCAGATGAGCTGGAGAAGGAAATGGCAAAACACTCCAGTATCGTTATCAAGAAAACCCCAATGGGTCAGCTAGATAGTGCAGTGGATAGAATACTGGCCCTGGATTCAGAAAAATCTGAGTTCAAATCTGGCCTCAGACACTTGACACTTCTAGTTGTGTGACTCTGGGCAAGTCACTTCACCCCATTGCTTCGCAAAAAAAAAATAGAAATAAAAAATAAGAAAACCCCAGATGGAGTTATGAAGAGTCAGAAAGGACAGAAAAGTGACTAAGCAATAATAACAAAGGGGAGACACAGATACATCACAATTGCCCCTCCGTGAGTGACCTTCCTGAATTCAGTACAGCCGTCCACATAGAAATGCTTTCATGAGGGGAGACCCCTGAGGCTATCTGCCCGTCTGTGCCCTCCCATGGGCATCGAAGGCCGATTTTTGTCAGTTCCTCCTCCTAGAGATAAAATAACACCGCCCCAAAGGCAAAAGAGCTGTGATTAGACAGCAATAGTAACCACCCCTCCTTGTCCTTAAATGCCGCCTCTAAACACTGCCTCTGCCCGCTGGAATGAGGGCACAGTCCATTGTAATCCACACAGTTCACCTGTTACCTTCAGCGCCGTTGGACTTCGGTCCGCAGAACACTGAGACAGAACACAGTGGAACAGGGAGCATCAGAACCTCCCACAGCAGCACTGGTCTTCCTCCAACACCCCCCCCTCCTCCGAAACTTACTTGCTAAGTCATCACCATCCTTCTAGTTACCCAGAGACCCAGCCTAGGTGTCACCATCCACTCCTCGCTCTCGCTCCTTCCACGTTTCCAGTCATTTACAAGATCTGACCACTTCTACCTTCCACAGTATCTCTTGAATATCTCCCCTTTGCTGCCATGTTGCATCGCATGGCTACCACCCTAGTGGAGGCTGCGCATCATTTCTTACCTGGATTACTGCAATAGCCTCTTCTGACACATTGCTCTATGAACGGCTGCTTTTTATTCCCTTCACATTCTCCCTCCTGCTCTTCCTCTACCCCCTGGTTTCCCCAGCTTCCTTCAAGTCCCAGCTAAAATCCTACCTTCTACGAGGAGTCTTTCCTGACCCCTCTTAAGTCTAGTTCCTTCCCTCTATTAGTTATTTTCTTTTTGTGCTGTCTATAGCTTGTCTGTATATATTTGTTTACTTGTTTTCTCTCCCATTAGATTGTAAGCTCCTAGAGGGCAGGGTCTGTCTTTTGCCTCTTTTTGTATCCCTAGTGCTTAGCACGGTGCCTGGCACTTAGGAGGTGCTTAATAAATGCTTATTGACTGACTGACTGATATGAGACTCCATCTCTCATCTCTGCACCTTTGCACTAGCTGTGCTGCCCCTTCCGGGATGCTGTCTCTCCTCACTTCCATCTCTTGTTATTTCCTTCAAGACCCAGCTCAAGCCTTATCTTCTGGAGGAGGCTTTTCCTGACCCCCCCCCCCCCCCGGCTGCTAGTGCCATCTCATCCGAGGTTACCTCGGGTGTATATATGTGTGTATCCAACATTCTATTTACTATGCAAAGGCCAAATAATCATAAATCTGAATATTATTGGTTAGCACTGTACTATTGGAGTGGGCTCACAGTTTATATACCCTTCTAAGAGTAGGTGTTCCCCAGGGTGGGAATCAGCTCTGATTGGTTAACAATTAATGAGAGAATGAATATTACAATGAGGGGCTAGACCTGAACTTTGATTAAGTCATTTATTTCTTAAGTTCTCTCCAGCTTTGGACAGTCTATTCAAAGAATCTATGTTTCCTCCAAACCTGAGCAGAACATTCAGTGTTCTGACACCCTACCTGGGTGAGGTCTGAACAAGAAAGTCCAATCTCATTGTCAACAAAATCTTTCAAGAGACTGGACTTTTAAAATCAGGACTTTAGAAAAAAAAGGGGGAACTCTGGATCTCCCCAAATCATTGGTTTTTTTTTTTTAGGCAATTGTAGTTAAATGACTTGCCCAGGGTCACCCAGCTAGTAAGTGTCAAGTGTTTGGTCTGAGGCCGGATTTGAACTCAGGTCCTAGTGACTTCAGGGCCAGTGCTCTATCCATTGCACCACCCAGCTGCCCCTAAATCATTGATTATTAATAATCATTTCTCAATATTTTGCTTTACCACTGAAGATTTGGTAGTGGGAAAATTAGAATGTAAGCCCCTTGAGGTGACTTTTTTGGTCTCTCCCTCCACCCTCCCCACTCACCCACTCAAAAACATTTTGTTGTTGTTTGTATGATTGCACAGGTATAGGGAACCCCTAGTGTGAAAACTTGGCCATGGTCCTCTAACTTACTTTCTTAAGAAAGTTGCCTGGGGCTCAGAGAGGTTAAGACCTGCCCAAGGTCGGCAGCCAATATATATCAGGGGCAGGACACTGACTCTTAAGTAGTAGGTGCTTCAGTGATTTTTGTTGAATTCAATTGAGCTACCCCAACCCCCACCCAGCTTCCTTCTCAGCTGCCTCGGGAGAAGTTGAGAAATTGAAATGTTAAAGCAATGGTCTTACAAAAAAAAGCCCGGTTTAAAGCAGAACTGAGATCAGGATGTCAGACTGGCAAAGCCTGGCCTTTGTCCCCTTTTGTATAGAAAAAGCCCAATTCAGTTAGAAATTGGCCTACAAGTTTGGTGACTCTCTGGAGATTCACCCAGGGGAGAGGAACTCATCTTGCTCAACCAGGGAGCGTTTAAACTTATAATAAAAGTTCAGAATTTACCAAAGCTAGTATATAATGGGGTAGTGTTATTAGGAAATAGCTTTACTCTACTAATAGCACAAGTCACCACTTAGCTCCGGGGTGCCATGGGAACACTGAATAGAAAGTTAGGAATGTTTTCACTACATGAAACACTGGTTTGATTACCCCGAAGTCTGTGTAATAGCCCATGGCCTATTACCGAAATGATGACTTCACAGATTGAGAAGGCTTCTCAATGACTTTCTAGCTCATTTTGCCGCTATCCCCCCACCCCTACCCCAGTCTCCCTGGCAATATTAGAATCTAGTTCACGTCCCTCAAGACCTTATTCCCTCCAAGCAGCTGGGGCTCCTAAGGCATTGCTATAATTTGACTTTTTAAAGGCATGGAAAGAATAAAAAGGAAGGAAGCATTGATGAAGTGCCTATATGTATTAAGTAATTACTATGTGCCAGGCACTGTGCTTAGCACTTTACAAATACCCTCTCATTTGAGGGTCTGGGAGGCTGCTGTTGTGTTATTTCGGTCGTGTCTGACTCTTTGTGACCCCATTTCGGGTTTTCTTGGCAAAGATACTGGAGTGCATTTCCTTCTCCAGCTCATTTGACAGATGAGGAAACTGAGGCAAACAGGGTTAAGTGACTTGCCCAGGGTCACATAGTAAGTGTATGAGGCTGGATTTGAACTCAGGGCTTCCTGACTCCAGGCTGACTGCTCTATCCACTGTGCCACCTAACCGTCTTTACGAAGAGATCTAGGTTGCTATTATTATTGCCATTTTACAATTGAGGAGGTCAAGTGACTTAGCAAGTCAAGTGACTCACTACAGCTAGTGAGTGCCTGAGGCTGGATTTGAACTCAAGTCTTCTTGACTCCAAATCCAGTCCTCTATCCACCTCACCACCTAGATACCTCACGGAGACACATACTTGTAGTATCTTCATACTCTTAACAATAGGATGGTTCGAGTCCAGTTTCTGGTAAGTGTTGCCGCTTCCTCTGCCATCTGTCAAAATTCCTGCAGCAAAAAAGGAGTAAGTCACAACCCTGACCACCCTAGGAGGAGAAGTCCCAGAATCGGGAGGTCAGTTGAAGACTGTTTGGAGAGGCATCTGCACCCCCCCCCCCATCTGCTTTCCTCTGGGGCCTCGATCCTTCCCCCTCCCTGGCATCCGCACAGCCTGTTTTCCTCTGGTGTCTCTCAGATCTTGGCCCTGTTGTTTGATGGCATTCTTCATTGTACATCCAGATTACTGCAGCTTCCCGAGGACTTGCCTGGCAGCTGCTACCCTTTGCCATCCGTCACAGCTTTCTCTCCCCCAAGAAGTCCCTGTTTCCAGCCTTGTTTTTGGCTCAAGTCCCCTGGGGTTCTTTCCCCTGGCCTGGACATGGGAGGAGTAAAGGGGCAAATCCCCTCGGAACTGCTCAAATTCCAATGGCCCTGATCCTCTCTGAACCTGCTTGTAATACACCCATATTCCTGTTCATTCATTGGGCAAACCTTTTTGAGGCATCTACCAGGCATTTAAGAACTTAGAGCACATATTCTCAAGGAGTGTATAGGCTAGTAGAATCAATCAATCGACAAACATCGATTAAGCTCCTGTTATGTGCCATCTGTAGTGCTAAATGCCGGGACCCAAGTGCGAAAAAGGACACAATCTCTGCTGGTAGGGAGGTTACCATCTAGTGGGGAAGACAAGGAAATAGATTAGATGTGTATACATATATATCTTTTATAAGGATATAAATACACGTGTGTATATATGTACATTCGTGTGTGTATGTGTATATATATATATTATATATATATATATATATACACATACACACTCACATATATATATATGACTTGCCCAGTTTATAAAGGAGCCATCCCAACACCAAAATTTCAGAGAAAAAGAAGAAAGAAAGGACTAGGAAATAGGTAAAAAGTACCATTCAGCTTGTTGGGGCTTCTTAGAGGTACAGAGCCTATGCTCCCGCCTTCCAGTCCTGGGAACTCATTGTCCACAGCTCAGTTGAGAGCAGTGAGTCACGGTCAACGGTAAATGACTCTTCTGATCTGAGTCTCACAATCAGGGAAGAATCAGCTGTTGGGTTGGAAATTATGTAAACCCGGGGGAAGGGACTACTTCCTCCTATAGTGTGTGATTAGGAAAGGAAAGTCAGGTAATAGCATGATGTGTATTCCAGAATTTAGGAGACCAAATTTCAAAGGTTTCAGACAATGAGTAGGTAAGACTCCATTAAATTCTAGAGTGAGATTCAGCCCAGAAGGGATGGGAAAATATCAAGGATGAAATCCTGAAGACATAAAAAAAGATACCAATTCTGAAAAGGAGGAAAACAGGAATATCTGAAGAGATTAATATGGATACACAGAGAACTCATCAACTAATATAGATTTTTAAAAAGACATGGATAGAAAATGGAAGCAAGGCAGGTAAAAATAATATTATAATAATAGCTACCATTTATATAGCTCTTACTATGTGTCAGGCATTATGCTAAGCACTTTACAATTATTATCTCATAGGATTAACAAAATAGAAAATTTTGATGTAGGTCTGTAAGAATAACACTAAGAGCTGCTCAGAATGAGCTGCATTTGACAATGAAAGCTAAAAACAACCAAAAGAATGGAGTTTTATTTTAGTTATATTGGGGAAAAGGATAAAAGAAGAATTGGACCATTGTTTGGTATGGATGGAAAAACATTAACTTATGATAAAAAGAAGGAAAAACTGCCTAATTCTTATTCTTTTTTTTCTTTGTCAAAAGGAATATCCTTTGGATGAACAAAAATAGCTCATAGAGGGGGCAGTTAGGTGGCTCAGTAGATAGAGCTCCAGTCTTGGAGTCAGGAGGACCTGAGTTCAAATCTGGCCTCAGACACATGATACTTACCCGCTGTGTGACCCTGGGCAAGTCACTTAACCCCATTGCCTCACCAAAAAAAAAAAAAAGCCAAAAAAAAAATAGCTAATAGATACTAGATACTAGTATAATAGCAAATAGTTATTCGTGTTGAGACCCAACACAAATAAGAAGATGGTCAGGTCAAGCCATATGGACCAGATGAACTATATTCTTATGTACTCAAAGAATGACAGATGTGATTGCCAAGCAACTGTCCATGATATTTGAACGATCATGGAAAATAGGAGAAGTACTGAGGACTTGAGACAGAGTAAATATCTTGGTTTTCAGAAAAGGAAGGAAAATGGTCTCTGCCAATTTACAGCTCACTGAGCTCATCTTTGATTCCTGTAAAAATTCAAGAATAAAACCAATTTTATTTCCTTTTTTTGATAGGGTAACTAGATTGGTAGATCAAAGGGATTCTTCATAGTTATCTTTTATGGAGATTATAACAAAGCATTTTACAAAAATATCTCATTATTTTCTTCAGAACAAGATGGATAGAAGTGGGCTAGATGCTAGTGGATTCAGAACCGGTTGACTGGCTTGACTCAGTAATCAGTAATAGCTTGACATCAGCTTGGAAGAAAGTCTTCAGTGGAGTACCCTAGAGATCTGTGTTTGGTTCTGTGTTACTTACTATTGTTATTAATGATTTCTGTGAAGGCATAGATAGAATCCTTCTTAGATAACACAAGCTTAGTGGTATAGTTTGCACCTTGGATCAACAGAACCAAGATCTAAGAGGATCTTGCCAGGTTAGATCATTGGGCACAATTGAATAAGATTAAATTTAATACTCTCTATTATGCAAAGTCCTGTACTAGGTTTAAAAAAAGTGATTTCACAAGTACTCGATCAAGTAGACAACAGTTTGTTTGAAAAAAGGTCTGTGGTTTTTAGTGAGTCAGCATACGTGCTGTGCCAGCCAGAGAGAAAAGCTAATACAAGCTTAGGTTGTGTTGAGAGACATACCTTCTAAGAATTTCAGGAATAAGGAGGTGATCATTCTCTTGTATTCTGCCCTCCTCAGAATATATCAGGAATATCGTGCTCAGTTCTGGGCACCATGTTTTAGGAGGGGTATGATAAGCTGGAGAGGGTCCAGAGGAAAGGAGTCAGAAGTGAGAAAGCCCTTATGTCCATGCTCTAAAGGATAATTTGAAGGAAGAGCAGATTATTAGGTAAGAAAAGACGCAGGAGGGTTATGATAATTGTCTTCAAGGATTTGAAAAATGATCATGTGGTACAAGAGGTTGGCTTGTTCTGTTTGATACCAGAGGACAGAGTTAGGAACAGTGGGTGGCAGATGTATCATTTAGATAGAGCACGGGCCCTGAAGTCAGGAGGACCTGAGTTCAAATCCTGCCTCAGACCAAACACGTGACACATACCAGCTGTGTGACCTTGGGCAAGTCACTTAACTCCAATTGCCTCACTAAAATAAAAAAAAAAGATGTAACATTTAAGCTTGATATAAGTAGAAATTTCCTTGCAATTAGAGCTATTTAAAAATGGCATGGGCTGACTTGGGAGGTAGTGGGTCCTCCCTGATTAGGGGGTCTTCAAGGAGAGGCTGGTTGACTATTTGTTGGGTATGTTGTATTGGGGGATTCGTTTTCAGTTATGGATTAGACTAGACCTGGCTGAGACCCCTTGCAACTCTTGAGATTCCATAATTTTGTGAGGGCATTGCAGGAAGGGCACCGTTAACCACAAGGTTCAGCAAGCATAGTCAGTTTAGGCTTCCTGAGTTCTAACCCTCAAAATCAGGGGAAAAGAGGTAAATACACCAAAGGGAAACTATCTAGTTATGTGAAACATAGCAAAATCATTCTACAGTTTATCTCTTTTCCCCTAAATTTACTCATCCACAAAATGGGGATAACAGGAGAAATTTTCTATTATAGATGACATGTTTTACAAATATAAGCACTGAAAAAATGATGGAGAAATTTTTTGGGACAGGGACAAGTTTTGTAGTCTCCAGAGCAAATTCTCTGGCTTCTGCTTTCAGGCAGCACAGTACCGTTTTCACTTCTCAAATTATGGTCTGCCTGGCTCCAGCCTGTCCACAACCCAATAACCCATAATTTGACCAGAAGCTAAAACAAAAATAGTACCATCTTTGGGCCTGGAATGAAAATATGGCTCTCATTTCTAAACTGGGGATACACACTGTATCAGGCAGATGACCTGTGGGCAGGACTTGTGGACCTACCACAGATGATGAAGGGAGACTTTACATATCTCAATCAACCTTAAAATGTGGTATGTTCAATCTTCTAAAAAGCTAATGTTAAACATATGTCACATCTAAATAGCAAACAGTGTTTAGCTTTCATGTTCTTCCTTAGACAGGTCTGCTGCTGTGCTGATGTTACAGGTAGTATGACCACAACTCTGTGTGTGTGCAAGCGTGCATTTATGTGTGTGTGTGTGTGTGTGTGTGTGTGTGTGTGTGTGTGTGTGTATTGTGGGGAAGAGAAACAGTGCCTCCATTTTGAGTAAACCTCAAGTTTGGAGGCATTTAGTTAAACATGTGTCATCAATAGAAATATTTAAAACAACTCAAAATATTGAAAATTGGGGAATTTCTAGCTAAGATGTGAAAATGAGTGTGTGACAGGGGTGGGGATAAACTTTACAGATGATACCACTCTGGTGGCAGAAAGTGAGGAGGGATTAAGAATTCTCTTGGTGAGGTTGAAAGAGGAGAGTATAAAAGCTGGCTTGAAGCTTAACGTCAAACTAAGAACTTGGCAACTGGTCTCATCACTTCCTGGCAGAGGGAGAAGAAATGAAAGCAGTGTCGGATTTTATATTCTTGGGCTTAAAGATCTCTCTAGACAGTGACTATAGCCATCAAATTAAAAGACGCTTGCTCCTTGGAAGGAAAGCTATGGCAAATCTGTACTAAAAAGCAGAGACAACACCTTGTCGACAAACGTCTGTGGAGTCAAAGCTATGGTTTTTCTAGCAGCAATGTTTGGCTGTGACTGCGGGAAAAGCTGAATGCCTCAGAATCAAAGCTTTCAAACTGTGGTGCCAGAGAAGACTTTTGGGAGTCCCTTGGATCGCAAGGAGATCACATCAGTCAACACTTAAAGAAATTAATTCACGCTATTCACTGGAAAATCAAATATTAAAGTTGAAGCTTAAATAGTTTAGCCACATAATGAGACGACAGGACTTATTGGAAAAGACCCTGATGTTGGGAAAGATTGAAGGCAAAAGGAAAAGAGGATGACAGAGGATGAGATGGATAAATAGTGTCGTGGAAGCAACAAACATGAGCTTGGGTAGACTTTGGGAGAGAGGGAAGGATAGAAGGGCCTGGCATGCTATGGCCATGGGGTCAGGAAGAGTCAGACACAACTGAACCACTGAACGAACTTATCAACATCCTTCCTAAGATATGATGCCTAGAACTGAATCTAGTATTCTAGTTGTGGTCTGACAAGAGGATAAGAGCTCAGTATGACTGTCACCTCCTTCATTTTGGATGCCAACCCTCTCTTAATATAGCACAAAATCGCATGAGCTTTTTTGGCTGGCATATCACTCTGTTGACTCATACTGAACTTGTGGTCCATTGAAACCTCCAGATCTTTTTTAGCTGAAAAGTAATCTAGCCATGATTCCCCATCTTGTATTTGTAAAGTTGATTTTTTAATCACAAGCATATGATTTTACATTTATTCTGTTTCATTTTATCTTGTTAAGTTCATCCCAGTGTTCTAGTCTGTCAAGATCAGCAGCCAATGGGCACTTGCCAGGTGGTTAGCAATTCTGCAGAACAAAGGGAGATACTCCCATAAACATGTATATGGATATGTGTATACACACATATGTTACACAGTCTTAGGGCAATGTGGCAAAAGGAGCCTATCAGGTGAGGCTGCTCAGCTACTTCCTTTATTTAGAATATTGAGTAATAGGGTTAGGATGTCAAGGGATTTGCGGGAGATTGTCTTAATTTGGAGGTAACCATGGGGTAGCCCAAAATCAGTTCTGTTCCAAGGAAAGGTGTTTTTGATCTCATCACATCATTTTAGTGGACTGGAAGTGACTAGTTAATCTTATTAAAATGTCTAGGTTGGCAGGCATTGGGGTTGGATGGAAAGAATGTTGGATTTGGAGTC